GACCTCATTTGGAATACTGTGTGCAGTTCTGGTCACCACACCTTAAAAAGGATATTATAGCTTTGGAAAAAGTGCAGAAAAGAGCAACTCGAATGATAAAAGGGTTGGAACACTTTCCCTATGAGGAACGGTTAAGGCGCTTAGGGCTCTTTAGCTTGGAGAAACGACGACTGAGGGGTGACATGATTGAGGTTTATAAGATTATGCATGGGAAAGAGCAGGTAGAGAAAGAGGTACTTTTCTCCCTTTCTCACAATACAAGAACCCGTGGGCACTCCATGAAATTGCTGAGCGGTCGGGTTAGAACGGATAAAAGGAAGTACTTCTTCACCCAAAGAGTGATTAACACTTGGAATTCACTGCCACAGGAAGTGGCGGCGGCTACAAGTATGGACGGCTTCAGAAGGGAATTAGATAAGCATATGGAGCAGAGGTCCATCAGTGGCTATTAGCCACAAGGTATAGATAGGAACTCTGGGTCTGGGGCATGTGATGCTCTGTGTTCTTGGTGCTGGGGGGGGGGCAACAGTGGGAGGGCTCCTAGTTTCCTGGCCCCACTGCTGGACCTCCTGATGGCCCCTGGTATTTTTGGCCACTGAGTTACAGTGTTGGACTTGATGGGCCATTGGCCTGATCCAACATTGGATTCTCTTATGTTCTTATAAGAGGGAATTAGATAACCATCTGGAGCAGAGGTCCATCAGTGGCTATTAGCCACAAGGTATAGATAGGAGCTCTCAGTCTGGAGCAAGTGATTGTCTTCTTGGTCCTTGGGGGGGGCAACAGTGGGAGGGCTTCTAATGTCCTGGCCCCACTGGTGGACCTCCTGATGGCACTGGTATTTCTGGCCACTGTGTGATACAGAGTGTTGGACTGGATGGGCCTTTGGCCTGATCCAACATTGGCATCTCTTATGTTCTTATGGCTAAAGAGTGTTGGCTGGGAAATCTTTGGTTCATATCTCGCTCTGCATTATTAGGCAAGACACTACAAATCAGCCTCCCTTGTCTGTAGGACAGATATAATAATGATGACCTACTTTATAGTCTTATTAATTGTCCATAAGCACAGGTCTTGCATGGTGCATTCCTGGAGGAACCAGCTTTAGCTGAAGTTAAGTTGGTTGGGACCAGCTGGATAGAATCATAGAATGTTAGAGTTGGAAGGGAGCTTGCAGGTTATCTAGTCCAACCCCTTACACTCTGCAGGAACATAGCCAAAAGATAGCCCTACAACATACCTGAAAGATGGTCGTCCAGCCTCCTCTTGAAAATATCCAGCGAAGGAGCATCCATCACCTCCCGAGGCAGTTTGTTCCACTGCTCAACTACTCTTACAGGTAGGAAGTCTCTCCTGATATTTAGCCGGTAACGACTCCCTTGTAATTTCCACCCATTAGATCTAATCTTGCAATCCGGAGCAAGAGAATAGATCTGCTCCATTTTCTACATGACAACCCTTCAAATACTTGAAGACTGCAATCATGTCCCCTCTAAGCCTTCTCTTTCCCAGGCTAAACATACCCAACTCTTTCAGCCTTTCCTCATAAGACTTGGATTCCAACCCTCTCACCCGCCTGCTTGCCCTCTTCTGGACACGCTCAAGCTTGTCAACATCCTTCCTAAAATGTGGTGCCCAAAACTGGACACAGTACTCCAGGTGAGGCCTGACCATAGCAGAATAAAGGGTGGAACTACCACCTCCCGTGATCTGGACACAATGCTTCTGTTAATGCATCCTAAGATTGCATTAGCTTTCTTTGCAGTCACATCGCACTGCAGGCTTATGTTTAGCTTGTGATCAACTAGAACACCCAGATCCCTTTGGTGTCCCAAATGCCAGCAAGTCAGACCCGATCCCCCACAAGCTACACCCCAAGGCTGGGAGTCATCTGGTAAACCCTGGGCCAGATTGCATATAGATTTTGCTGGCCCTCTCCAAGGGCAAATGTTCCTAATTGTGGTGGACGCTATGTCCAAATGGCTGGAGGTCGTGCATATGAAATCGACCACATCACTTGCTGTGATCCATGCGCTCCGCCGACTTTTTGCCACCCACGGGTTGCCTGACGTCATCGTCAGTGACAACGGGCCTCAATTTGTGTCTGAGGAATTTAGGCTCTTCCTCACGAGTAATGGCATACGCCAAATGACTTCGGCCCCTTTCCATCCGGCATCTAATGGCCAAGCCGAACGGATGGTCAGGACGGCCAAAGAGGCCCTGGGTAAAATGGACGAAGGGGACTGGAGCCAGAGGCTGGGCTCCTTTCTTTTGCTGCAGCACACCACCCCCTGTAGTGCTACAGGCCGTAGTCCGGCCGAATTGTTAATGGGGCGGAGACTCACGACCCGTTTGAACCGAATGCACCCAGACCTCACAGAAGATCAGTCCGAGCGTACCACTGCGCAACCGAAGGTGCGCATGTTTGAAAAAGGGGACAAGGTTTTCGCACGAAATTATGCAAACGGGCACTTGTGGCTTCCTGGGGTTATATCCGACTCTGTGGGTACTCGAATGTATGTGGTGCAGTTAGCTGACGGTCGAATATGGCGGCGCCACATAGATCAGTTAAGGAGACGTTGGGCTA